ATTGTTCTGATTTATGGATCTGTTGGTTTTTCTTCATGATTTTGGAGCGTATCTTCTTACTGAGCAGCTTACTCTTGAACATGTACACTCAGGAGGAAACACTGCTATTAGCAGTAGTTAACGTCAAACTGTATGAAATAGAGAAATACAAATACGTCATGTGTAGTTCACTAATATATAATCACTAACAAGGATATAGTTGAAAATACCATACTGCTGTAGAATGAGGTATAAAGTTAATTATTTTTTAAAGTAAGTGTGGAAATAGCAAGTGAATGAGATGGAGACTGGAGGAGAGAAAGGTGAAAACAAAATTAAATAGATGAAAGGAAAAATAAGAAATGGAATAGAGAAATTTGGGGGGTGTGGAGAGACAAGAGCAGGAGAGTAAGAAAGAAAGCATCACTGAGTAGAAAGTTCAATAGCAAAATTTCATAAATGTAGGATGAGGAGCAAAAAAAGAAAAAAAGTGAAGAATAAAGTTGTGCACTGGTGGTGCATCGCTTAATCTAGTTCTTCCCAGGTAGTAGCAAATTAGAACATTAAAGAATTTTTAATACAATAAAAAAAAAAAGAGCCAAAAGCCCCCAACCCTTTTCTAGGGAGGTAGAGACTAGAGGATCTTTGTGAGTTTGAGTCCAGCCTGGTCTAGATAGGTTTTTAGACATCTCGGTCTACATAGAGAGACCCTATTTAAAAAAAACAAAACAAAACAAAATCCTGGATTATAGGGCTTAGCGGGTGGAGGCGCTCACTGTACAAGTCTGATGTTCTGAGTTTGATTCCCAGACCTTGTGGTGGAAGGAGAGTACTGACTAACAAAAACTGTCTTCTTATCCCCATGCCTGTTCATATGTATACACACACACACACACACACACACACACAATTTTAAAATCCTAAGCATGGAGGGGAAAAAACACACAAACACAAATAACAGAACATAAATAAGAAGAAAGAAAAAAAGATGATGTTGCAGCAGCTTCTTTCTGGATCCTTGAATAATACTCAAGAGTCAGGAGTAGGGTCAATTTGACTGTGGCCTGTTGATGTGTCTGTCCTTCGGTTTATGCTGTTACAGAGTCTGTATTGCTGCCTGTTGGAGTTCTCTTCACAATCATTTTCTTTCTTTGCATGTCAGGGTCTGTGGGTCACATTTAGCTTTGTAATCTGTGGGCTGGGCAGATTTTCACATCCTCCTTAGTCTGCCTGTATTGTATCCTCTTGTGGCTGTTTATCTAAGGAGTGTCTCCCAAGTAGATTGGGAGTGTGGAAATCATACCATAGCACTGAGATTGGTACAGGCAAAAAGACATGCCTTCATATTTTCAAGGTCTCCTATGTATTAATAATTCTGCTGGAGAGATGCCTTTTTGGGTATCACACTCCAGGAACTTCAGAGTTCTTGGGCTTAAAAGTAATGAATGTAGGTAGGTAGTTGTAAAATTTGATCTGCTCACTGACCTAAGGCTCAGAGCTATTAAACTCCATCATAGTTCCTGTTGATGAGATCTGTTCCTGGGTACTGAGCATAGGGTTGTTACTCCTTATACATGAACTAATTTAAACCAGCCTTCTGTTGCCTGTTCCCTTTGGCCAGAGTCTAGCCCTGCTGCTATCCTCAACTGCCTTTTAGAGACTTCTCTGACTAAAGGTTTATAGCAGGCCAAATTGAGGTTCCTTATCCTGTGGATGTTCCTTGATCTCAGGCCCCCAGGGTAGTTCAGTTTTTGCTTTTTTTTAAAGTTTTTATTTTTATGTATATGTGGGGGTTTTAACTGCATGTATATTTGTGTCTGGTACCCTTAGATGCCAGAAGAACACATCAGATTCCCAAGACTAGAGTTATAGACAATTGTGAGCTGCTGTGTGAGTATTAGGAATTAAACCTCAGGTCCTTAGGAACAGCCAGTGCTTTTAACCGCTGAGTCGTCTCTTCAGCCTCAGTTTAGTTTTTTTTTTTTAAATATTTTACATATGAAGAGCAGGTTTTTTAATATTTATTTATTATGTATACAATATTCTGTCTGTATGTCTGCAGGCCAGAAGAGGGCACCAGACGTACGTCATTACAGATGGTTGTGAGCCACCATGTGGTTGCCGGGAATTGAACTCAGGACCTTTGGAAGAGTAGGCAATGCTCTTAACCACTGAGCCATCTCTCCAGCCCCCTCAGTTTAGTTTTTAATAGATCCCCCTCCCCAAAATGGTTCCTGGCCACTGCCTTCCAAGTCATATGGTGTAACAAAAATGGGGTTTGTCTCTACTATAGATCTGCCTACTGGAGTAATCACTGTCTCACTGAAATCTGAAACTGGATTTGAAGTCTAAGAACTGGGGCTTTTCCTAGGAGTAGAACTACCTTGCTTTCCTCTGGCTTTGCTTTTTGAAATGGCTTCTGAATTTTTTTCTGGGCCAAGGAACTTTATAGCTGCTGTACTCAGCTTGCTGTAGACTTAGTATGACTTTGTTCTTGCTTGCAAAGTAATAAATACTTTTTATTTTACTTATTTTGTACATTTCCAAATCTTTCCCCTCTATCTCTTTGGCGTAGTCTGTTTTTTTTTTTTTTTCTTATTCTGGTGGTCTTCTGTACTGACTTCCACAGAGACATCTTTTTGGTTTGCTTATTCTTATATGCAGTTCCAAATCTTACTTCTTAAACTTATGTATTATTCAGGCCACACAGATTCTGTACCACCCTCACTCTATCTCTGCCATTGTGTCTGGTTAGTTTCTCATCTATCTGATACTATAGCTATATATTTGTATTACTTCTTCCATTTTTAAACATTTTATTTATTTATTTGTTTGTTTGTTTGTTTTAACAGTTTTAGAATTAGTTTTAATTACTCTTTGTTTCTATATAAGCAGTGACTTTAAACTGCCCCGAGGAGTTGGTGGTATAATTACTTCCCCAAGAACAAATATTAAGGGATTCTTGGCCCAAGCATACCAGTCTTTATAACTGTACGATAACATGTGTATGTCCCAGTTTTTAATTGATCCCACTTCCTGACACTAACACACACACACAATACACATATATACATGCTTACTCAAAAGGGCTTGACCAGCTTATGCTCTGAGAGCACAGTAAATTCAAGCTGGTTAGAGACACGATTTGTGAATCACTAACAATACTTTCCTATCAAGGAACTTTATTAAAACACTACCAGCCATAAACTAAAACTCTTTAAAACTGATGGCTATTTTAAAAAACTCATGAAGTGACAAACATATATGCACAAATATCAGAGTTTCCGTTATATAAGTTACTTAGCACAAAATGAAATTAGTTTATTATTTTTTATTTTATGAAATAATCTTACACTGTGGCTTCATGCAAATGGTCAATTTGCTGGCTACAAATTCTCAGGTCCATACAGTTTCCTTTTCAACATTCTCAAAAACTTTTATTTATTTTTATGTGCACTGGTGTCTATGTCAAGGTGTCAGATCTTGGAGTTACAGGCAGTTGTTAGCTGTTAGTTGAACCCAAGTCCTCCAGAAGAGCAGTCAGTGCTTTTAACCACTGAGCGGTCTCTCCAGCCCCACTTCTCCTATTCTTGATGATTAGGTAATGGGGTTACTTTCCCAGTCTTTTTTTCTTTAATAATAGATAATGGCTAGCTGGATATTAACTGTGTCAGGTTTCTAGCTACTTTTTCCCCTTGTCTGACAGTTGAGTTTTGGGGGTTTCTCAAGAGTTGGTCTTTGTATTGAATGACTGTTGTCTCTCATATGGAGTTTAAGGGCCAGTTGTCATTACTAGAATTTAGGTAGTGGTCTTTGTTAAGCATTCGGTGAGTAGTACTAGGTATTTATTTCTAAGCTGAAGAATATGGAGGTGGTTGTATTCTTCTGCTTTTAAAATACTTTTGGAAATGTTTTAAATTGAAGTTGGTCCTCTGCTCCCTGTAGACCTCTTTTTTATTGTGAGCCTGTGCAGAGCAGATGTAGGTTTTAATAAATGATTATATGTTTTGTCACCAGGAGAGAGTTGAAATCACATACAATGTGGTTTGACTTCAAATTGATTAGCCCATTTTATAAATGTCAGCAAATTGTCTTGTGATGGACTTTTTGAATAGAGCCCTAATGTTACATGCAGAGTAAACTGTGTCTGGCTTGGCTTTATAACAAATGCTCTGAAGTGTTTTATTTAGAGAGAGAGAAATCACTTGTGGTTTCCTGTCATGATTTAGTTTTTTATCATGAGTCTCAGTGGTGGCTATTCTCTTTTCTCTGTGGCTTTTGGCTGATGTGAGGATTTGTGTTTTCAAGTGTCTTCTTGCGTACTTGATCAAACTAATCATAAAATTCTGTGAAGCATGAGGGAACTATTTCAGATGCTCAGAGTTCTCAGCCATGTGTTCTGATATCAGGAAGAGATCATACTCCATGAACAAACAGGCAGGAAAAACCAGAAGGTTGGATAAGGGAAGCCATTCATAATTAAGTTTTTCCCAGAGGAGATATTCAACTTGTGTGGGCAGATTTTTGCTGTAGGACACTTTGGGATTTTATTTTATTTTTGTTGCTTGGAAAGCTCTATCTTGAGATAAAGACGAAACTTTAACTGTAAGGTGAGGAAAACCTACTGTGCTGTCAGGAGAATCTCCATGTTTTCTGAGTTCATATCTCTTGCCTTCAGAAGGCTATAACTGGTCGCTGGTCTGCAAAACACCTTTGATACTTTTATACGGTAGTATAGTTTTTGTCTTCTCTGATAGTCACTGGTAGTTCTTACCCTTTAATCCTTCCTTTTTGGAGACTACAAAAGGGAGGTTTTTTTTTTTTTCATTCAGTGATTTCACTGGAACCGAAGTTGTAATTTTCCCTATTTCTGGCCTACTTGCCACTGCAGATTCCAATGCTTGTGGCATTGTACAGGATATATCAGTTTACTTGTAGCTTTGTAAATTGCCCACCTTTGCTTGTAGGCCTGTGCTCTGCTTTATTTTATGAGTTTACTTATCATTTGATTCTGTTTTCAGCATTGCAGCTTTGGCCAATAAGAGAAGCTTAGTCCTTATGCCAGAGTCTTCTACAGAAGAAATTACTGTTTGTCCTGGTAAGTACACCATGACTTTACTGAATTTCTGATATTACTTATCTGCCTTTTCATTCCTATTCAATTTTTTGACTGTTCAAACTATTCTCAGGAGGGTTATGTGTGATTTATGTGTGTATGTGTTTATTGCTAGTGTATATACACACACACATGCTCGCGTACTTGTTTTCTAGTGGACACAGGTTCTGATTATCAGCTTTATTTTCTGCTTGAGAAGTAATTTGGTTTTGAAATTAACTGGCTCTTACATCTACTTGCTTGCCTACCATGTGATCTGAAGAAGCAACAAAATATCAAGAATAATCCTTACTTAACAGTGTATTCAGGGCCAAAGGGATTTAAATTTAAACAATCCTCAAAATTAGACTGTTCTCAGGTCACTTTATTGTTAAGCAAAACCCTTTAGTAGTTTGTTTTGATATTGCTATTATTTGAGGTTTTATGAGTTCAGGAACTGAATTTTTGTGCAGTTTTGTGGCTGGCACAGTTAATCGTAGTAAGATCTGATTAAATGCTTTAGTTTATAAAGATGGAGTTACATATTTTTCTTAAGACATACTAATTCAGAGTTTCATGTGAATGGATTTAGATATATAAAATGATTTAAAATGAATTAAGATAGCCACTGTCTAAGAGAATTCTTTAATGAGTCATTGTATAATATGAATAATTATTTTGCTAAATGAATCACTTTTACTTTCTAAAGAATTTGTGTTAGCCAGCCGTCATTCATTCATTCCTCTTTCTTTCCTTCCTTCTTTTCTTCCTCCCTCCTTCCCTTCCTTCCTTTTTCTTAAAAGTAGAGCCCATTGTATTACTCAGGAATCTTATTCATGTGATGTTAAGGAACTACCTACTAATATTTAAACTCACCGGAAGGCAAGTAGTATACAAATATTATTCAAAGTCATAGTCATATTTGGGTTTCCTTTAGAACACATTCAGCCTGTCAGTATTTATAGTTGTCTTAATTTCTTTCAAATTTTTTCCACAAAGACTAAAACTTAGTTAACATATACCCTAGGAAAAATTCTATAAATACTTTAAAACACTTGGAAGCCTGTCAAAAAGGTTTTTATTATTTTAAGAATGTGAGTAATGTTGGCTTTTTTTGTTTGTTTGTTTTTTTGAGACAGTGTTTCCCTGTGTAACAGTCCTAGCTGTCCTAGAACTAGCTCTTGTAAACCAGGCTGGCCTCGAACTTACAGGGGTTCGCCTCCCTCTGCCTCCCAAGTGCTGGGATTAAAGGCGTTTGCCACCACCGCCCGGCCATAATGTTAGTTTTTAATGAAAGTGGTTTCTTAATAAATTTGAAATGTATATGAATTACTGCCTAATGATAACTACTAAGAGACTCAATTACTAAAGTGGTCTGATTTTGGCAAGGGCACTCAAGAATGTGGTGCTGTCTTTGTGAAAATAAAGCTTTATCCTTTTCTCTGTGTGGAACTGATGAATTTTGCCATCCTTCTGGGAAGTCACTCTGTTTGAGATGATGGCATATGATGTCATTGTGGCATATTTCAGAAAGAACCTGCAAATACAATGATCATCAAAGTCTTAGCTAATAGATTTAAATTTTTACGTGTGTAAGGGGATATGGGATAGATCAAAAAGCTTAAAAGGGGACCATGGAAAAGCAAAAGATTTCCTAAGGAAAAATAAGGTAATAGAATACACATGGCATGAAAATGCAAAGAGGACTGACTACCTGGGGAAGGAAGGCACGAGTAGTGGAGGAGGGGTGAGAGGAGGGAGGGTGGGTCAATAAAAACAACTGTATATGGGATGTGATAATAGAAGCCTTTGTTTTGTATACTAATTAAAAATAAAGCTGGGTGGTGGTGACGCAGGCCTTTAATCCTGACACTCAGGAGGCAGAGGCAGGTGGATCTCTGTGAGTTCGAGGCTAGCCAGTCTACAAGAGCTAGTTCCAGGACAGGCTCTAAAGCTACAGAGAAATCCTGTCTCAAAAAACAAAAAATAAAAAAAAAAAAATTAGAAAGTCCTAGGGGCTGGAGACATACTCTTCCAGAGAGCCTGGTTTGAATCCCAGCATCCACATGGAAGTCGTTTAGGTCAGCAAACAGTTGGGTTTAACCTGTAAGCTAATGGTCGGAAATCATGATAATAAAAGTTACTTTAGCCGGGCGGTGGTGGCGCACGCCTTTAATCCCAGCACTCCGGAGGCAGAGGCAGGCGGATCTCTGTGAGTTCGAGGCCAGCCTGGTCTACAAGAGCTAGTTCCAGGACAGGAACCAAAAGCTACGGAGAAACCCTGTCTCGAAAAATCAAAAAAAAAAAAAAAAAAAGTTTCTTTACCTAACTTCAGTTAGAAAGGGCTTATTCTCTCTTTAGCTGTTTTTATGTGAATGCAGTTTCTATTGAGGCCAGAAGAGGGCACTGGATTCCCTGGACCGGTTGTTACAGATTGTTGTGAGCTGCCACATGGGAGTTAAATCCAGGTTCTCTAGAAGAGCACCAGTGCTCTTAACCAATCTCAAGATTAATTTTGACTCATGGTTTCAGGGGGTTTAGTCAGTAGTTGCTTATCTCCATGTGCTTGAGCAGAGCATAAACATGGTAGGAGTGTGTGGCAGAGAAGCTTCTTTATCTCATGGTATATAAGAACCAGTAAAAAGCCGGGCGATGGTGGCGCACGCCTTTAATCCCAGCACTCGGGAGGCAGAGGCAGGCGGATCTCTGTGAGTTCAAGACCAGCCTGGTCTACAGAGCTAGTTCCAGGACAGGCTCCAAAGCCACAGAGAAACCCTGTCTTGAAAAACCAAAATAAAATAAAATAAAATAAAATAAATAAAAAATAAAAAAGAACCAGTCAAAAGAGAAATAACAGAAAGACTTGAGCAAGATAGCACCCTCAGGATGTAGTTATCAGTGGCCGGTGTTCTTCAGCTAGGCCTCACTTCTTCTTTTACCGTCTCCCAGTAAAAGCCAATCATTATGAATCTCCAAGTGATTCCATTCCAAGTGGCCCATTCACTGGGCCAGAGCCCTCGGGATCTGTCTCAGGAATTGCTGTCACGGACACACCCACCTTTACTAACCTTCTAGGTTTCTTTCTTAAGTCAGTCGGGTTGGCAGTCAAGGCTGACTGTCACAGGACGGCACCAGCAGTGTTTGTTTCTGAGGCACCAAGGCTCTCTGAAGTGTTTTCATGGTTAGACCGCTCGTTTGTTCATCCTTTTTATTGCTGCAGCCGTCCATGGGAATGATTCTTACTTTGAACAGTATATTTGGTGATAAACTCTTTCAGGGAAATTTAACACAGAAGATTTTGCAGTTTAAGAATTGTGAGCCTTTTACAACCAAATTGGATAAAGAGTTTCTAATTTTCAAATATAGTTAATACTATAAATGTATTTAATTCTTTAATCGTTCTGAAGATAGTTTAAAATTTACATATTATTTGCCCAGTGTTGACTATTCATTGTATTGTGAAGCATGAAAGTGTCAGAAGTATAGTGTCAAACAACCGAAAACTTAACAAGGCTTACCTTCTGAGATAGATTTCTTTATTTAGTTATGGTTGTAATAAGCAAACATTGGGGCTAGAGAGATGGCTCAGAGGTTAATGGAACTGACTGCTTTTCTAAAGGACCCGGGTTCACATACAGACAAATATAAAAGAGGGAAATAAAATTTAAAACATTTAAAAAATAAAAGGAAATACCATAGACTTTGGCTTATAAACAGCAGACATTTATTTCTCAGAGTTCTGGAGACAGGGGAGTCCAAGATCAAAGCGTAGACAGATTCAGTGTTTAGTGATAACCCACTTTCTGGTTCCTAGACATATCCTTTTACTATGTTCTTAAATGGGAGACAGAGATGACAGCTCTCTGTAGGGTTCTGATAAAAGGACACTAATCCCATCTTTTTTTATTTTTCCACTCTTATGACCTAATTACTTTCCAAAGGCCTCCCCTTTCCTCTTATCATCATTAGGATTACCATTTCATCATGAAGTTTGAATGAGACATATACATTGAGTTTAAACATTTCTTTACCAGATCTGTTGTCATTTGAAATACAATTTGTTATTCTTTTATTATATTGACAGGTGTCTAGAATTTCTAGTTAGCCAACTTCAAAAAAACATTTTTATTAATTTACCCCCAACCCCTGACCAAACTTTCCCCAAACTTCTTTTCTTTAAGACTAGTAAATATTTTAGGCTCTTTAGGTTAGATGTTTTGTTAAAGCTATTCATCTGTTTCACTGAAAAAGCAGCCATAGATAATATGTAGCTGAATGAATATGATTGTATTCCACTGGGCCTTATTTACAAACCCAGGCAGCTGGCCGGATTGGACCCAGAAGGTATCTACTATAATTTTCTGTTCTTGATTTACACTATATCTCTGTGTTAGTAGTAGGTAGTACAATGCCTGGGACTTTTTATTCCATCAGTATTTATTGAACTAATAGATATTGTTTAAAGAACATATTTAACATGGCATATCTTTGTATAGAATGCATATTCTGATTTTTTTGCCTTACTTTCTGTTTTTCCTATTCATCCTTTTAACTTTAGAACTAATGTAGGCAATTTTTAGTTTCTGTTGAAATCAGTAGATTTTGATACTAGAACTATAGTGAAATAAGCCAAATGGATTAACTGGTAAATAGATAAGCAAACTGTGTTGTATTCATTTAATAGAGTGCTACCTACCAGAAAAAAGGGAGACACCATTTATATGTCTGATAACATGGCTGTCTCTCAGTTACATGATACTGAGTAAAAGATGACACCCATATACACTGTGAGTTTTTTCTTCCTTTTTTAAAGACAGGTCTTACTATATTGCCCCAGGTTTGAACTTGAATAGCTAGGGTTACAGGTGTGTGCCACCACATTTGGCTAATTGCATTTAGGTGATATTCTAGGAAAGGCAAAATGGTATATAGTAGTTTGTACAGTTGACTCCTGAAGGGTACAGGAGGATCTTAATGGGATGCTGGAAACATTTTCTTTATTGTAGCTACATGGTATGTATTAGTCAAACCCATCAAATCACAAACTGAAAGCTAGTCCTGTTCTGTGTAAATTATGTCACAGTAAAGCTTCAAGAAACTAACTAGAATTAATGGTATTTACTTTTTTTTTTTTTTTTAAATTACAGAGACACAGTTAAGTTCCCCTGAGCCCCTTGACCTCAATAGAGAAGACTCTCCAGATTGCAGCGAGGTTCCCATTGAAGTAAGAAGGACAGTGAGTGATAAGCAGGTGAATTAATACTCTTCTCCGTGATTTTCTTCATTAATTTTTATGCTGTTGGTCTTCTTTGTGATACAGTGTTCACCTTGGTCTGAAAGATTTTAGTGGTAGATTTTAGTTTTGGGAGGGGGCAATTAGAGAGAAATTTTTATAGTTGAAATTATCATTTCAGCACTGTTTATAAAAATATCACCTTTTTTGTTTATTTTGATTTTTGAGATAGGGTCTCTCTACATAGCTCTGGCTGTTCTAGAGCTCACTATGTAGACCAGGCTGGCCTCAAACTCATAGACATCCACTTGCCTCTGCTTCCTGAGTGCTGGGGTTAAAGTTGTGCACCACCACACCCGGCCACTTAACCATTTCTTTTACTGTTTCTGTTAGAGAAAGATTTAGAATGTTTACATGATTTGCTCTAGTTGATGTTACTATTAATTATAGAACTAGAACCTGAACATAGCTTTGTCTCTAAATCTATAGAGACATTTTCTATTATATACAAATAAGTAGAAGAAATAAATGGGGTGGGGGCAGGTAATCACTGTGTAGCATAAACATATTGTTCAACTTTATTTTATAAATGTTATCAGAAATACAAAGGGAAGACAAATACATGAATCTCTGTTTATATCATTTACTGTCCCTGACTACACATGCTTGACCATAGCCATACAGTTGAGATTCTTAGAGTAACCTAAGCATGGTAGGACAGCCCTTTAATCCTAGCATTAGAGACGCAAACATAGGTGTATCTCTTGAGTTTGAGGCCAGTCTGATCTACATAGTGAGTTTCAGGACATCTAGGGCTATACAGAAACTGTGTCTCAAAAAAAAAAAAGTCATAGAGTATATTTTTTATTTTGAGTGCATTTATTTGTGTATGCTCATGTTGAGACCAGAGGTTGATACCTTCCTCAGCCAAGCTCCACCTTACCTTTTTGAGATAGTCTCTCACTGAATCTGGAGCTCACTGTTTTGACTAATCTGGCTGGTCAGCAAGCCCCTGGGTTCTTCAGATCTCTGCTTCCTGCATCTCTGTTTCCCTTCCCCATCCCCCTAGTGCAGGAGTTACAGGTGTGCACAACTGGCTTTTCTGTAATTGTTCAGTATCTAAACTCAGGTCTTTAGACTTGAGTAAAAGCACTTTACTACTGAGCCATCTCTCCAGCCCCTTTATTGTATGTATTTTTCATTTTACATTTAACTAAGTAATTTCCTGGAATTCTGTTGCTGTAAAAAGCAGTTTGAGGATTGAATAAATTCTTATAGAAATAAAAATTTTGCTCATATTTATGTTTATGGTCCTGAACACTTTAAAGAAACTTAATTTTCTCATTCCTTTTTAACTGTAAAGGGTTTTTTTGGAAACAATTTTCACAGTAGATGTTAGGTTCTTTCCTAGTTTCTGCACTGCAGGTAATTGGCTAGAAACTGCTTTCATGAATCATACACAGGTTTCTTGGGACCTGGTGTGTCACAAATGACAGGTTGGGATTTCCTCATGCCAGTATAGGAAAAATTAGCCTCTGTAGCACTGAGGTTAGATTCTACTAGATAATATCAAAATGGCCATTGGGTTTTTCTTCCCAGGGAAGATACAGAACCTTCTAAATGGGAATCAGAGAACAGAGTATTGGCAATATAGTTATCTTAACATGCAGAAGAAACCCTACAGGCCTTTAGTTATCAAGGATGTTTTTTTCTTTTTTAGAATTTATTTATTTATTCTATTTGCACTGGTGTTTTGCCTACATATATGTCTGTGTGAGGTTGTCAGATCTTGGAGTTACAGTCAGTTGTTAGCTGTCATGTGTGTGCTGAGAATTGAATCCCTGTCCTCTGGAAGAGCAATCAGTGAGTGCTCTTAACCCCTGAGCCATCTCTCCAGCCCTCAAAGGTGCTTTCTTACCATGACTACAAAGGATACTGTTCTTGGGGCCAAAGAACATAAGCCCCATTTGGAAATTATAATGTGCATTCTGCACTGGTACCTAGCAAATGAGTGCTTTTCACTGTTGCTATTTGACTATGTCTGCTTATGCTTCTAAGTAACTTGGAGGTTTCTTGGGATCTATCTGCCTCTGCCTCTTGAGTGCTGCTATTAAAGCCATGTACCATACCTTGTTTTTTGAGAAGGTTCTTTCATAGGCCTGGAGTTTGTCAATTCTATAGGCTGGTTACTGAGCCTTAGATATTTGCCTGTCTCTGCCTCCCCAGTGCTGAGATTGTAAACATGTGCCACCATGTTCTTCTGGGTGCTGAGGATCAAACGGAGATTCTTTTAGTTATTTGAGATAGGGTTTCTCTGTGTAACCCTAGCTAAACTGGAACTTGCTCTGTAGACCAGACTAGCCTTGAACTCAGAGATCCCGTCCCCCTCTGCCTCCTGAGTGCTGGTATTAAAGGCATGCACCACCACCATCTGACTCCTCAAATTCATTTTTAAAAGATGGGTTTCTTAGAATATTAAATTAGACAGAATATAAAACATATAACTGACCTGGCACAAGTAGAAGTATGCATATAAAAACAGTTTTTCTGCTTTGAAATTTTTGTGACTGTTTAGTGATATTAGCTTGTTAATTGGGGTAACTGCTTGATAGTACTGACTTATGCATATCAACCTTGTTATAACTGTAGTCTCTCTTGATTTGATTTCTTACAGTAGTCAGTTTTCTTTGAAAATGGTAGATTAACGTTTTCTCAATATTGTACTTGAGAATTTTCTTGATGTGCATTGTCATAGATATTCTGTTCTCAGGTGAGATAAGAGAAGTTGTTCCAAACCAAACAGTTTAGTAAGTTTTTATTTGAATAGAATCGTATAGAGCCTAGTGTGGTGGCACACACCTTTAACCTCAGCATTTGGGAAGAAGAGGCAGCAGATCTCTGAGTTCAAAGTAGTCTACATAGTGAGTTCCAGGACAGCCAGTGCTATGTAGGGTGATCCTGTTTCAAAAAAACACCCCTTCCCACAAAAAGTCTTTTGGTAAGAAGGATCAAAACGAACAACTTTCTAAGCTACTTATAAGCCAGGTAGGGGAGGGTGAAGAACTTGGTGATTTATAGGGTGTGTCTTTATTTTCACTGGGCTTATTTGTTGAGGTGGCATTTTTTTTTTTGAGGTTAGAAGTTTAGGCTACAATTGTTTGCCAATTTTTTGACATAGTGACGTGATATTGTCATTTATAAAATGTATTAGTTGGCATCCAAAGCTCTCCTGGGATGTGGTCTGATTGTATCAGACTTTTCTTTTGGGCCACCAACCCAGCTCCCAAATCATGACATAGAGACTTATTATTATGAGTGCTCAGCTTTATCTTTTGCTTATCCCATTAGCTCTTAAAATTTGTATTAACCTGTTTCTCTTCATCTACATTTTGCCTCTGGACTTTTTAACCGTTCTTTCTGTGTGTCCTACTCCATATCTGACTGGTTGGTGACTGGCTGGTTGGCTACACGTCTCTCTCTCTTTCTCCTTTGTTCTCTCTTGAGCCTAGATTCCTCCTGCTACTTATTCTTTCTGCTTGCCAGCCCCACATATCTCTTTACTGCCTAACTATTGGCCATTCAGCTTTTTATTAGACAAATCAGGTGCCTTAGGCAGGCAAAGCAACACATCCTTACATTGTTAAACAAATACAGCATCAACAAATGTAACACACTTTACATAAAGTAATAATTTACAACATAAACAAATGTAACATCTTTGCCAAGTTAAAGTAATATTCCCCAATACCTCAGAGCCAAAGATTGGACATACCTACAAGGGATTACAATTCTGTGTCTGAGTACCACTTTTGATATCTCATTGTGTAGTATTTTTTACTTATTTATTTTACACAGTGTGTGTGTGTGTATGAAGGTCAGGAAAACAACTTGCTGGAGGTAGTTCCCTCAATCTATATAGATTTTAGAGATTGAACTCAAAAAAGTCATCAGAGTTGGCATCAAACACCTTTTACCCATTAAGCCATCTTGCCTGTATAATATTTTAAAACAGTAGAAACAGCTCTGTAGACACCAAATCTGATGAGCTATACAGTCCTAATAAAAGCTGCTTTACTCATGTTTTTTGCCTTGTAATTCCTTCCTACTAGTTAATATTTAAACAGACCATTTTGGTGATATTGGGGAAAAATGTCTTTTATCTCAACTGACACAGCTGTGTCACTTGAGAGGAGAAAACCTCAATTAAGAAAATGTCTCCATCTCCTTCTGCTCCTGATTTGGACCTTGAGATTTCTGTCCGGTGCTCCAATGTGGGTCTCTGTCTCTGTCTCCTTTCATCGCCTGATGAAGGTTAATATTCATGAGGATGCCTATGTGTTTGTCTTTGGATTCACCTTCTTATTTAGCTTTAGGTCAGGGAACCCTGATTGCTCTTTGAGCAGATGAGGGAGGGGGACTTGATCGGGGGAGGGGGAGGGAAATGGGAAGCGGATGCGGGGAGGAGGCAGAAATCCTTAATAAATAAATTAAAAAAAAAAAGAAAATGTCTCCAGAAGACTAGGCTGTAGGCAAGCCTATAGGGCATTTTCTTAATTAGTAATTGATGTGGGAGGGCCAACCCTTTCTGGGTGGTTTCAGCTCTAGGCTGGTGGTCCTGGATTCTATAGCAAAGAAGACTGAGCAAGTCATGATTGAAAGCCAGTAAGCAGCACCACTCCATGGCCTCAGCATCAGGCTCCTGCCTCCAAGTTCCTGCCCTGACTGTCTTTGATAAAGAACTGTGATGTGGGATTATATACAATAAACCCTTTCTTCCCCAAGTTGCTGATGTAGGAGTGTCTTCTATCTATCTGTTGCTTTCATTGGTTAATTAATAAAGAAAACTGCTTGGCCTGATAGGTCAGAACATAGGTAGGCGGGGAAGACAGAACAGAATGCTGGGAAGAAGGGAATGAGGCAGACGCCTCAGGCAGTCGCCATGATTCTCCCCAAGATGGACATAGGCTAGAATCTTTCCCAGTAAGCCATCACCTCGTGGTGCTACACAGATTATTAGAAATGGGTTAAGCAAGATGTGAGAATTAGCCAATAAGAGGCTGAAACTAATGGGCCAGACTGTTTAAATGAATACAGTTTCCATGTAATTAATTATTCTGGGGCTAAGCTAGCCTTGTGGGAGCCGGGCGGGAGCTGGGCGGGAGCTGGGCGGGATGAAAAGCAGGCCTGCCAGCTGCTCACCTTATCACTACAAGTTGCCTTTTGCTTTTGGTCATGGTGTTTCATCACAGCCAGAGAACCCCTACCTAAGACAGCCAGCCTGCCTGGAATATCAAGTATGGCAGACAAGAGAGACCTAACCTCAACAAAGTGGAAGGAGAGAACCAACTCCCAAACTTCTACATGCTTACTGTGTTGCATATACATACACATGTACACACACGATAAACCAGCCAAAACCACACACACACACACACACACACACACACACACACACACAAACAAAAATTTAAAATTGCCTATGTAAGATAATGGCAACTATAGAAGCAAGAGAAAAGACTTAAAAGAGGCTTTAATAGAAATTAGTTATTGTCTTAACTAATAACTTCTTTAGGCGTTTAAATACTTAAGTCTTTGCTTTTTAGTCCTTGGTTTTTGAATCTGGTATAAACTGATAGGTATTCTTTCTTTGAAAGTAAATGAAATGCAGATGGGTCTTGTTCTTTGGGGGAATAGACATAAACTAACAGTTACTTACAGTTGCTGTTTGCCATGCTCTTTAGGTTGGTGATAGAGAAAATGGTGAGAAAGCAATTCCCACTCCTACATTCTCGTCTAGTACCCGGGTGTCCTGTCCACTGTGTGACCAAGACTTTCCTCCCACAAAGATTGAACAACATGCCATGTACTGCAATGGTCCGATGGAGCAGGAAACAGGTAAAACCTCACCAGAGTGACCTTTTTGTTATTTTGAGACAGGGTTTTACCATGTAGCCTTGACTGGCCTGGAACTCATGATATAAACCACGCTGCTCTTGAACTTGAAGAGATCCTTCTGCCTCTGCCTTCTGATGCTAGGGTTAAAGATGTGTACCACCATACCCAGCTGACAGTGTAACTCTTAACGTTTTTTGCACAGTACTTTTGTAATTTTGTATAATATAGTGCAGGAGAAATAGCTCTATCTTCAAAGTTGCTGTTTCTAAATAATTAGTTTCTAGTTCATTCAGGTCCTTTGTCGTTAGTAGGTATAGTACCTTGTACCAAGTTCCTCAGGAAAAGGGAAAGGGGAAAAAAAACCCTTTCCTCTTAATGTTCCATTTGCTCTTTACTGTGCATACTGAAAAGCTAATGCAATGCAGTAAACCTTGCTTTTCAGTTTATATATTTAAATATTGAGACTCCTAAGCAACTTGAAAAACTTAAGTTCTAGCGTAGTCCGTTTTTTATTTAAAAGAAATGTTTTGTGGTTTATATTGATAGACATTCCACTTAGAGACAACTGTTAAAACTATCCCTAATTTATATTTCTGTCCCATATATCTTTGCTGGGTTAAGCCAAAACTACTGGTAACCCCTTGAAAGAGTATACCAAAGCCATGGTTTTGATACAGTGTGAGATGTTGACCAAGATAATATTCTTGTAAATCATATTCCTTAATTTACTATCCAGAATCTGCCTTTCTGTGATTTTGAGCTTTAAGTTGATTAGTGTTAGCATAGCTAGAGCTCCGTGATCCACCATTCAAATGAAATGTAAGCCTTAGGTAATTGGAAGTGTTGTGACCTTCTTAATGCCAATTGATTTTTAAAACTTAGATGTATCTAAATCTGAAATTGTATATTAGTAAAGTATTTTATAAGTTAAAATTGCCAGAAAGGACCACTTGGCTCATCTACAATGGTTGTACATGAGTTGTACAACCCCTAAAGGCTCAGGAAGAGCTCATCCTAAAAGATGACTGGAGTAGACTAGTATTCTGCTAGGTTTCTCCGCTTACCACCCATGTCATATATGTCAGAGAGCTCAAGCAGGTGAAATGGCTCCGTGGGTCAAGGCACCAAACCTGATGACCTAATTCTGACTCCTGGATCCCACATGTATAGAGGCTAGGAGAGGACATTGAGTGTCCTCCTCTAATATTTTCCATCTGTTCTTTGGGGCAGGGTCTCTCTGAACATTGGGCTCACGTTTTTCTCAGCTAGACTAGACTTCAGCAAGCTCCACTGATCCTCTTGTCTTCACTCTGCTCAGAGGTGGGGTTACAGGTTTGTGTGGGATGCCCAGCTTCTCTAGGATCCAAATTCTGCTTTCATGATTGTTCAGCAAACACTTTTAATCACCATGCCCCGGAACACGCTTTTAAAAAATTTTGTGGTAAGCCTTTATGTAGGTTACCAGAGAAGTTTTAAAACAGATTTCTGACACCAAGAGGTTTATGAACTTATTTGGGAAAGTAAATTTTTACTCAGGAAAGTAATTGCAGTTGTTTAGAGTACATGGCTTGTATATACCTAAGTGAATATCCCTGCAAATGAGTACAGTGCGGGAGAGAAGGGCAGTGACTTATCATGTTAGATAGGCTGGGGTTTAGCCTGCTTTGTGAAAGGTGGCATTGTAGGAGACTTTGGAGCAGGGAATTGATGTGGGATTCCTCTCTGTATGCTGTGAATACCATTGGTTAATAAAGAAGCTGCTTTGGGCCTATTGCAGTGCAGAATAGAGAAAGGCCAGTATTCCAAGCAGGTAGAGGAGGAGACAGGGAGACACCATGTAGCTGCTGGAGGAGAAAGATGCCCACACGCTGGTACCAGTAAACCGTGAGCCTCGTGGTAAAATATAAAATAACAGAAAGGGTTAATTTAAGATGTAAGAGTTAGCTAAAATACACTTCAGCTATTGGACAAACAGTATTGCAATGAATAGTTTCTGTGTGATTAGTTCGGGTCTGGGAGGCCGGGAAACGAATAAACAGCCTCCATCTACAGGGAATTCTCACTGGAGCCATCCCACAGTCTTCTCACTCCTGTTTTTTCTTGGGAACAATTTCAGGATTTAGGTAGGTTGGGGAAGTGAAAAATTATGTGAAACACTTACTAGTGTATGTGGCCTTTTCTTGATCCTTGGCTTAGTTTCCATCAACTTGCCTGTGCCCACATCTTCCTTAAAGATGGAAATTAGTGATTGTTTTTTGTTCCTCTCAACATAATTTCTAAATCTTGGATAGCAGGCTTTTCATACTGTAAAGGAAAAGTTTCCCATCTTGAAAATGGGAATAAGCCACATAATGGAGCCTGGAGACAATTTGTCTAATTCCTGGGGAGCAGAGGAAGAATGTTCTTACCTCTCAGAGTTAAGTACCAAGGTTTCTCCCTCCTTTCTGTTTCTCTCTGATGCTGATCCTAGACATGCTTGGTTTGGCTGTGTAACAGGAATAGTAATTAGCATCATTTACATGGAATGTCTACCATTTATGCCTAGTTACCGTGCAGTATATTAACAGTTATGCATGTCATTAAAGATCTGTCTGATTAACTTTGCTGTAAGTTTTATTTGATTACAATACATTGTGGTTAAACTGACTTGTGTGCTCAGTTTATTTTAGTGACATGGCTATCTGATCAGAACTATAAAAAAGTAAAATGTTCTTTAAAAGGATTGTTTGCAGGAGATAAGACTGACTATGTTGATCCAGACTAGAACAAAGCAAGCTGCCTTTATATTTATTTTCTGGAAAATACATTGAAGATCATTTTTATGTAAACACTTAGGAAAAATAAAGCTCCCTACTTAATTATTTAACAATAATGTATATCCAATACATGAAATTAATATAAAAAGTCACTACTCTCATGGAGTGTACACTCCAGTGATGGAAGATAAACCCGAAAAAGAGTAAGGAAGCAATACGTCAAGTGGTAATAAATTCTTAAAATCTATTTTGTGTGGATGTGCATATGCACATGTGTGTGCATATGTATGGAGGCCATAGGTCATCCTCAAGTATTATTCCTTGGGAGCCATCTACTTTGTTTTTTTGAGACAGGGTCTCTCTCTGGGGCTTGACGGTTAAGGCTAGACTGGCTAGCCAGTAAGCTCCAGGAGTCCGCCTGTCTCCACCTTCCTCGTGCTAGGATTATAAGCATATACCATCATGCTCAACTTTTTTATGTGGGTTCTAGGGATTAGACTCATGTTCTTATACTTGTGTGGCATTTAACTGCCTAAACTGTCTCTCTAGACTGGTGATAAATATTTTAGGAGAAAAAAAGTACAAAGCACAAGAAGGGAATAGAGAGTACTGATGTAACAATTTAAAACAGTTGTCAGGAAGGTCCCATTTAAGATGGTGGCATTTAGGGCTGGAGAGGTAGCTCAGCAGTTAGGAACATCTGCTCTTCTTTCAGAGGTGTACAGTGATACTTTGTGGTTTTAACAAACAAAGCTTTCCTGAAGACCAGGGTGCAGAGCTAAACCACTAGAGGCCAGGGAGTGGTGGCACACACCTTTTAATCCCAGGAAACGCAGCAGAGGGATCTTTGAGTTCAAGGCTACCCTGGGCTACACAGGATTAAATCTGTCTAAAAGAGAAACAGATCTCACACAAAGTACTTGGGATTCCACACCTTTAATCCCAGCACTAGGGAGGTGGAGAGAGGAATATAAGGTGGGAGGAGCCGGAGCTCAGTGTAGTCTGAGGCAGTCAGTTTGAAGGTGCAGTCTGAGGACATGATCTCCCTTTCTGTCTGAGCATTGGTAGAGGTGAGAACTGTTGGAACCCACAAGACTAGACAGTAAATGCACAGCTGATGGATTCATAAAGGCAGACCCACAAGTGTACAACTTATGCGACAACCTGTTTTCCAGAGCTGCAAAAATACTTGTCATTTGGAAAAGTTACTGTCATATCTGTAAAAACCTTGTGAAGCTATGATTCTTCCCTTTAAAATGGGGTTCATTCCCAAAACACCTCAGCAGTGTGACTCTTGCACAGGCAACAGAATGACCTTTCTCCATTCCCCCACACCACGAGACCTTAGACTGATAACACCCACTCTTTGTTCTAACAGTCAGATTTACATAGAGTCAATCCCACAGAATTACCTGCTAACAGACAACATGAAAATTTCTATAGAAAACAGGCACTGAGCAGGAAGGCAGCATGCCCCACCTTTGCTAACAAACAAATATGGGCATCCCCAAAACTGGTTGTCACCAAAGAGATTAGATGAGGAGAATGGGTGAATCCAAGATGCAGGAATGTTGGGTAACTTTTATCAGACAGTTTCAAATGTCAGGTACTTCCCCTTGCTAGCTCTTTCCTGGGCCGGGCCACCTGTTCTGGAGTATTGCTTGTCAGATTCTACCTGCCCCCTTTGTGATTTTGGTGTGCATATTATCATTGTCCTTGGCTATGGAATTTTCCAACTGTGTCTGTAAAAACTAGAAACCTCAAGGAGATCACATCACCCCTTATTTTCCCCTTACTCTTCTCCTTGCTACTTCTTCTACTTCTTCCCTTTACTCTCCTTCTTTTCCTTATTCTTCCCTTTACTCTTCCTCTCCTCTGTGCCCCCTTCACTTCACATTCTCCCCTTGCATGAAAAATAAAGAAGACGCAGAGGTAATGTACTTGACTTAATTTTTTTGCCCTCAGATCGTCACTTGTCATAGACACCCAATTCTGAGCCATGAGTGGGTACTGAGGCTGGTACTCAAGGCCCTCGATAGAGAACTCTCTGGTGGCTGGCTGCATTGCTTCTCTAATCTCTCAGCTTTTACCCTCTAATATCTGACTCTGAGTTTTTATTACTAAGATCAATTAGAATTCATGGTACACAGAGGACTTGTGTTTAATTCCCAGTGCCCACATGGTGGCTTATAACCATCTAACTCCAGTTTTAGACAGTGTGTCTTAACACTGTCTTCTGATCTC